CCTCTGGCAAATTGAAAGAGATGGAATAGCTAAATACGAACCAAGTCGCTACATCAGTGGCTGCCAAGATTAATAAAAAATACATTGGGTATACAATATTCAATAATATACATATTCAATAAAAACATATTCAGCTCAACCATATGTACAATTCTATATACAGTGGTGCCTCGCAAGACAAAAAGTCTCTTCCGCGAGTCTCTTCGTCTTGCGGTTTTTTCGTCTTGCGAAGCAAGCCCATTGACGGCTTAGCGGATTAGCGCTATTAGTGGCTTAGCGGATAAGCTGCTTAGAAAAAGGGGGGGAGGAAAAAACCCCTGCAGGAACTCACAATACATTTTTCGTTTGCGAAGCAAGCCCATAGGAAATTCGTCTAGCGAGTTTTATAATAATAATAAATAATAATAATTTTTATTTATATCCCGCCCTCCCCAGCCGAAGCCAGGCTCAGGGCGGCTAACAACACTAAAACAGTGCAACATTATAAAAGCATTATAAAAATTAATTAAAATACAAATTGATGGCAACCATAAACTAAAGTTTTGTAAAGATTGCCAAAGGAGGGAGTCAGGCTGCGCCCTGACCAAAGGCCTGGTGGAACAGCTCTGTCTTACAGGCCCTGCGAAAAGATGTCAAGTCCTGCAGGGCCCTTGTCTCTTGCGACAGAGCGTTCCACCAGGTTGGAGCCGCAGCCGAAAAAGTTCTGGCTCTAGTTGAGGCCAGCCTAACCTCTCTGTGGCCTGGGACCTTCAAGATGTTTTTATTTGAAGACCGTAAGTTCCTCTGTGGGGCATACCAGGAGAGGCGGTCCCGTAGGTACGAGGGTCCTAGGCCGTATAGGGCTTTGAAGGTTAAAACCAGCACCTTAAACCTGATCCTGTACTCCACTGGGAGCCAGTGCAGCTGGTATAGCACCGGATGAATGTGATCTCGCAGCGAAGACCCCGTAAGGAGTCTCGCTGCGGCATTCTGCACCCGCTGGAGTTTCTGGGTCAGTCTCAAGGGCAGGGTTTTCCGTCTTGCGAGGCATTTGTCTTGCGGGGCACCACTGTACCTTAACGCTCCTCCCTCCACAAGGTTTATTTAACTTTAAACATTTTAATTGCCCCAAATTGTTCAAACCTACCCAAATAATTCAGTGTCTTCTCAAACCAGTCCTCCTCTTTCTCACTGAGCTTAAGCCCTTTCAGTCTATGTATAAGATGAATGAATGAATAGACTTTATTTGTGTAGCTGACAGGCCATAGCATCAAAATGTACAAGATGCTTTTCGTCTTTTTGTGTCTTTGTTGTTCCATCAATGGGAGTTATGATGCTGTTCCTATAATGCTAATCCCACCAATCCTGCTCCCAAACTACCACCACAACTCCTAACACCAACATTTCCAACTCTCTCCACCAAGGCCCCAAAATCAGCTGGCTCTCAGCCCATCATCACTCACCCCAGCACTCCAGATTCTCCCCCTCCCTATCTAACATTATATTACATCTGCTATTATACTTGTGAGACATGACCTTCATTTCTTTAAAGACCTGTCTATACAACTTTATATACAAATACCAGAACTTCACATGCACTCCATGCATTTAAGACTGATTTCCCATTATCTGAGTTCATTGATGGGAAGGAAAGTGAACTCTGAGAGAAATACGTCAAACACTCCATACATCTAAATGCTTTCTTCTCCCCTTTGAGAATCTGTAGAGGTTTCTTAAGCATCCCATTCTAACTGATGCACCGCTCTGGGACTTCCAGGTTGTCACATCGGAGTTCAGTCGCCTGCCATGCACCCTCCGCAGCAGATCAGGTCCTGTGGTAAACTGGTCCCCAACCATTAGCCCCTCCCTCACCTGTCTTTGCTCTCCGGCCAGACCAGGTTTCTGGAGCAAGGCTGGATGTTACAACAAAATCTGGGTGCGAGGCTGCTCTGCCACCCAGCTCGTCGGACTAAGTCCGCGGGTCCCTGCGGAGGAAAATGAGCTCAGCCGGAGACAGGAGCAAGCTGCAGAAGATCCAAGTTTATTGCGCAACAGGTTCAAGGCGAGATTGAACAGCGAGAAAGGGGTGACATGAACTTTTGAGATTTCCCTCCATGTCCCAGAATACAGTGCAAAATACATCCCAGTTACATCATGAATACATTAAGAAGAGGTTGGGTTACACAGATTATATCATGAATCCTTTAAGAAGAGGTTGGGTTACATGGATTAACATATGGAGGAGGGAGGGGGGATATGCAGAGCTGGAGATATGCGCAGATAAGCACATCCTGAGTACCAGTGATGAGAAGACAATGATCCATGTACTGGCATTGCCCGGAGGAAATATTTGGCAGAGTGATTTGACAGGATTAGGGTCTTGACACCTTGCTTGAGGGATTATGGAGGACAGGGGAGGTGTCATGGGGTCCTAGAGAAATTGAGCAAATTGGCACGTTGAGTTTCTATGAATTTCATAGATTTTAGTCTCTTTTGACATTGACAATTGGGAATAAATGGATATATTGTAGCGAAGAAGGTAAAGAAGACATGCCCTCCCCTTCCGTATCACTGGCAGACCCTTTTTCCTTTTCAGAAACAGGACGAAACAGAACTGGTAAGGCTCCCTTGTCCCAGGGTTACCTTAAGCCACAGCTCAAGGGAGACGGCCGTGCTTCTTTGTTACTGGTTAACCCCAAACTACAAGTTGCTTCCACAAGCTTGCAGGCAGAAATTCTTTAGTAAGGCGCAACCAAGAAGCTAGGCGTTGGATTTAGCTATTCCCCCGGATAGGCACGCACAATACAAGAGAAAGTTTCTTGCTTAAAATTTATTTTAAAACATAAAGAACATGCTAAAAAGCAGGCACATCTTTTGGTAGATTACAAGTAAAGAGAAAAGAAAAACGTTGCAAAACATAGCTAGCTAATACTCACTTCTACACTCTAAGGCAAAGATAGGAGAGTTCAGAGTCCTTCAGAGATCCGCATTCAGAGGTCTTAGAAAACCTTCATCACAAAAGAACGGCTGCTTAGGTGGAACATCAGCAGCCGGGTGATTTTGCGGATTGCAGAGCGCGCCTTCCAGCCATTCTCAAGATCTTTTATCCCTAATTTGCACGTGGAATCAGATCCCCCAGGCCCAATCACCACTCTTGGTTACATTTGAATTCTCCAATGACCAGCTTGTGGGCTAATAATTTTAACTTCTGACAGCTGGGCCAATTAAGACTCCAGAGCCTAGATCAAAGATGTTTCCTCCCTTTCTTGGAGCTTATGCAGATGCACCTCCTTTGGGCAAAAAACAGGGAGATAACATCACCGGCTGGATATACATAACTTCCCTCACAGGTGTCAACCCTTCACATTATCCAGAGAATTCCTCTCCCATAGTAAACCTTTCATGCCCTTGGAGCCGACGGGTCTACGGGTTAAAGCAACAGGACCTAGTTCCCATAATTCTTGCTGGTTTCCCACAAGGCCTCACTCTCCGCTTGAGCAAAGTACTAACTTTACTACAGGTGCCATGGGGGTGGGAGAGAGAGTGTGGGTATAGCCCCCCCCTAAGGCTCTGGGGTTACTGGAACATCGGAGCACTCTGTCTAAAGTGGAAAGCTATAAAAATGTTGGGTGTTAACAAGAACTTGACTATGGGCCAGACGAGGAAGACACCCTCAACCAAAGTAGAGAAGGAGAAACGAGGAGAAAGAAAGAAAAAACCGACTTGATGGAGATTCTTGCTTTCAGAGTGAAATCAGCTTATGCAAAAGCAAATAAACTACCAGGAGTTTGATTGATTTTATGAAACTCAAGATGAAGAACTCCAAACACACTACCAGAAAAACTGATTACAATGCTCAAAATTGCTGAAGAAAAGAACCAGCTATAAGTTTCTGGCTGATACGCTCAAGAATTCAATTCCCTTTAGTTGAGAATTCCTGGAAGGGAACTTTTTTATGTACATAGGGAAGAAACAAAGATGGCAAGGGCCAATAAAAACAGAGGCATTCTAGAGGAAATATATTTTTAAAAAGAGCTGGGAGATGGATGCATCAGAGAGCCAGTGTGGTGTAGTGGTTAAGCGCGGGAGTCTCGTAATCTGGGGAACCGGGTTCGCGTCTCCGCTCCTCCACCTGCAGCTGCTGGGTGACCTTGGGCCAGTCACCCTTCTCTGAAGTCTCTCAGCCCCACTCACCTCACAGAGTGTTTCTTGTGGGGGAGGAAGGGAAAGGAGAATGTTAGCCGCTTTGAGACTCCTTAAAGGGAGTGAAAGGCGGGATATCAAATCCAAACTAGACGAGCTGGAGGAGGGAGATAGCTGATAAGGGGAAAGGGGACTTAAAACTGTTTAAAGGATTCAATGATGGATTTAAAATTGTTTTCATTGAATGTGAATGGTTTGAACAACAAAACCAAATGAAATAAAATTACACATATTTTCACAAGGAAACAACAACAAAAAACGATTCTTGGTAAATAAAGGACTAGGACAGGAATTCATATAAAACAAAGAAAAGAGGGTGGTACTATATATATATATGAATTCCAAACTGGACTCTAAACAGATCTTTAGAGGTGAAGAATTATTGCAGTGAAAGTGATGGTGCAAGGAGAAAAAAATATTATTGGTAGGAGCTGACGCACCTAATGAGGAAAAAGAAAGATTTCTTCCAACTATTGGATGAAAGTATGTCTGAGGTTTATGATGGAAATATAATTATTATGGGCGATTTTAATGGAGTAGTATCACTGGACTAAGACAGAACACTGCAGAAAGGTATCTCAAAAGAAGGCAAAATACCAAATACTTTTTTTGTAATTAATTATGTAATTAGGAAGAATTTATAGAGAGTTTGGGAAATGTATAAGGATTTGTTGGAAAAGAAAACATCTTTGTGGCTTTCAGCCAACCAGATGAATTATAACTAGGGAGAAAATTACTTAGGGTGATGCTCCTGAAGAAACCATGAAGCATTTCTTTTAGGGATAACTGGGTCAAATGTTCCAAGAAGACAGATGAACGACAGCAGCAAGAGTACTTTATGCACAAAAATGGCAAAATCAAGAGACAGCTACACTGTTCCAAAAGTGATGGAATATGTCAAATTGGCAAATTTAACTATGAAAATAAGAAATCAAGGCAGACTTTAAAGAGGAGTGGAAACCTTTTGTTGAATATTTAAAGAATTTTTGTAAACATGTACAAACACAGGTAGGAGCTGAATGAAAAACAACAGTTGAATACTTGCTGGAGAAGAGTGTGGAAAAGGTAAGGTGTAAATATCTGAAAGATGCAGCAATTTAAAAATTCTATGGGGAAACCATGGAGAGGAAGTCAAGTATGAAATAAATGTATATCTGGAAAGTATGTAGCAATTTGTAAATAAATTCCATATAAAAACAAATTGCATATAAAGTAATAGAAGAACTTCCCACACTCCTTCCATTCAAATCATTTCTGCTTTTTCTATTTGTTGGTATATCTGTTGGGTTTCAACTCTTAAAGCTTCTCCTCCTTGTGAGTCCATTGATGTTTTGTAAGAACATCAGGATTGAAGAGCTATCTACACTCCATATAAGTAAGTGGTTTTCGCTCTGTGAGTTCAATGGTGTTTGCTAAGGTGTCCACTTCTATTGAAGCTCTTTCCAAACTCCATGCATTTAAATGGGTTCTCCCCTGTGTGAGTCCGTTGATGCTTTCTAAGCGTTCCACTCTCAGTGAAGCTCTTTCCACACTCCATGCATTTAAATGGTTTCTCCCCTGTGTGAGTCCGTTGATGGTTTCTAAGTGATCCACTCCTAGTGAAGCTCATTCCACATTCCATGCATTTAAGTGGTTTCTCCCCTGTGTGAGTCCGTTGATGGTTTCTAAGTGATCCACTCTCAGTGAAGCTCATTCCACATTCCATGCATTTAAATGGTTTCTCCCCTGTGTGAGTCCGTTGATGGTTTCTAAGTGATCCACTCCTAGTGAAGCTCATTCCACATTCCATGCATTTAAATGGTTTCTCCCCTGTGTGAGTCCGTTGATGAATTCTAAGGTTTCCACTTTGACTGATGCTCTTTCCACACTCCATACATTTAAATGGTTTCTCCCCTGTGTGAGTCCGTTGATGAACTCTAAGTTGTCCACTCACAGTGAAGCTCTTTTCACACTCCATGCATTTAAATGATTTCTCCCCTGTGTGAGTCCGTTGATGAACTCTAAGTTGTCCACTTTGACTGAAGCTCTTTCCACACTCCATACATTTAAATGGTTTCTCCCCTGTGTGAGTCCGCTGATGAACTCTAAGTTGTCCAAACTCAGTGAAGCTCTTTCCACACTCCATGCATTTAAATGATTTCTCCCCTGTGTGAGTCCGTTGATGAATTCTAAGGCTTCCGCTAGTAGTGAAGCTCTTTCCACACTCCATACATTTAAATGGTTTCTCCCCTGTGTGAGTCCGTTGATGAACTCTAAGTTGTCCACTCTCAGTGAAGCTCTTTCCACACTCCATGCATTTAAATGATTTCTCCCCTGTGTGAGTCCGTTGATGAATTCTAAGGCTTCCGCTAGTAGTGAAGCTCTTTCCACACTCCATGCAATTAAATGGTTTCTCCCCTGTGTGAGTCCGTTGATGAAGTCTAAGTTGTCCACTCTCAGTGAAGCTCTTTCCACACTCCATGCAATTAAATGGTTTCTCCCCTGTGTGAGTCCGTTGATGAACTCTAAGTTGTCCACTCTCAGTGAAGCTCTTTCCACACTCCATGCATTTAAATGATTTCTCCCTGTGTGAGTCCGTTGATGAATTCTAAGGCTTCCGCTAGTAGTGAAGATCTTTCCACACTCCATGCATTTAAATGGTTTCTCCCCCGTGTGAGTCCGTTGATGAATTCTAAGGTGTCCACTCTGACTGAAGCTCTTTCCACACTCCAAGCATTTAAATGGTTTCTCCCCTGTGTGAGTCCATTGATGTTTTCTAAGGTTTCCATTGTCAGTGAAGCTCCTTCCACACTCCATACTTTCAAATTGTTTATGTTCTCTGTTTTCACACTCCATGTATTTAAATGGTTTCTTTGTTATTCCCATTTCACATGGCCCACCAGAATTCTGACTGCCTTCTCCATTGTCTTCTTTCAATGGGGTGGGGAGAAAATCCTATTTGTTTTCTAGGAAGAGAACAAAGGAATATTACACACATCAATTAACACCTGCTCTTATTTTAACGTCTTGTACAATCTCTCCTGTCCTCCATATGTTCCAAATGTTTAGGAAAGGCAAATGAAATAATGTAAAATAATGGTCATGCATCATCAGCCTTTTATAACCCTTAATTATTGTTAATGAAGCAGTATTATATTAGAATACGGTTGAACTGTGGGCTTTACGTTTGATAAAAAGTGGTTTATCACAAGAAAGGGAGCTGCTCTATGTTCCATGAACCTGGCCAATATTCATCAGGGTCCTAAGTTCATCATGAAGTTCTTCATCCGCTGCACTATAATCCTCCACCCCTTGGGCCACATTTTGTCCCCTTCGACCTCTAGATCTTTATTCATCCCTGCACAGTCCCTTTGGCCTCAGGAGGTCCATACTGACCATTTTGGGACTTCCGGGTTGGCGCCATCGCCGAATGGCGGACTCCCTCCGAGCTCCGGAGGGAGTCTGCTCGGCAGGGGCTGGGTCCTACCGCGCCGGCGACGCGGGGACCCTCAAAAACCACGGGCACGGAGCCCGTGGACATGGGGACTCGGCTGGTACCGTCAGCGCCCTCCCGACTCGTGAAGGAGCCTTTTTAAAGGCTACGGATCGGGTGCCAGGGAGCGGCGTGGTACTGTGAGTCTATCGCTTCCCCTGCCGAGCGCAGCCGCATGCCATTCGTCGGAGAGCGCTGGCTTCTTCCATTGGAAATTCGGACATTTAACAACAACCCGTGAGTAATTGGGTAACCGGGTACAAAAGGAGAAAAAAAGGAATTTTTTTTCGGATTCGGCACGAGCGGGGGGATCTAAAAAGGAAGTCAGTCCCCTCCCGGATTGTAAACATGCTAAAACAAGGACTGAGAAACCAAGATCAATTCAGAAGTTTATTGCTGACAAAAAATATCAAATTCCACGATGGATCATTACAAGAATTGTGCTGGAGGAGAAAAGTCGAGGGTGAGAGGGAAAAGGCAACCCCCCCCTGGGAACCGGGGCGATTCGGAGAACCTGGCGGAGAGAGATGGAGAGTTTGACAGCTGTCAAAGTAGCTGTCAAATCTTGAGAATACAAAGAGGACTTTGCTACAAGTATTTTGCTGGTTAATTTTGATACAATTGGATATAAATATGGATACAAAATGTCGGGTGGAAAAAGAAACAACAACTTGACTTTTGGATGAGAGGACACAAAGTTATTGCAATCCCCCTAGAGGGGCTTTGGGACATTACAAGTGGCGTATGTGGAAAACTATCCTGGGATGTGTACTGGTCTTAGCTCCTGGGAAAGTAGCAAAACTGAAATATTGTTTTGTCTACAGAGGTGACAACACAATAGAATCTTTCTATTGAAGCAAGCTAGGAACTGGACGTAAGTCTTTGTTCCTGAATAACAAACCTCTGTAGAGATACTAGATTTCAGAATAAGAATGGTTTTGCAGCTGAACAAGACAGAAACCTGAGAAAGTAAGAAACAAAAGAGTAAAGGACCAACTACGCCACGGAAAGAACAATGGGAGGAGCAACAATGACCAAGGGAAATTAAAGGCCTCGATTAGACTGGATTTTTGAAATTAAACATTATCAAAACAAGCAAATTTAAAGAAAACCGGCAAGATGGATTGAGAAAAATTTGGCTGTGGACTTGAGACCTCCAGGCCGACAACATACAGACTGATGGACATGGGGAATCCAAACCGGGGAAGGGAGGGGGAATTTTAGAATCCAAAGGCTATGTAACCAACTTTTGGAATCTTCTTCTATCTTCTATCTTTTATCTTTTTATATAACTTTGGTATTTTGATTTAACATGTTTTGGAAAAAAAAGGGGGAATTCGTGGAAGGAAACGGGGTAGATTTTGGGGGAAAATTTTTTGTTTTATTTTGTTAAAAATGAGGAGTGATGTTAAGATTGTAATTTAAATTGGCTATTAGGCACAACATATTAGGTTTAAATTGGGAAGGAGAACTTGTGGAACCAACGTAGGGAAAGGGGAATACAGTCGGGAGGGGAAGGAGGGAGTCCCAGAAAGAAGGTTATGAAAATAAGGGTTTAAAATTGGTCTTTTTTCTTTCTTTCTTTCTTTATCTTTTCTATCTTTTCTATTCTGTTATTATTGGAAATTTTAATAAATATGATTATAAAAAAAAAAAAAAACATACTGACCATTTTGGGAGACCCATATATAAGTCTAGTGACAAGGCTTGGTGTTTGTGGTCGGTTGAAGGAGTGCTCAGTGGGAGAATGTTGTTGGGGCTGGACCTCCATCTCTCAGCCTTGCATTCTTGAATGGAGAGAGCTGGAGATGCAGAAGGAAAGCAGCTGGAGCCTGACTGCTGGGAAGGCCAGATTGAGACACCCACCCCAATTATGATTTATAATAATTATATGCCGCCGGGTCTCGCACCTGCCTCCTGACACTGGCTTATCTTAGCGGAGATTCCCTGTCCAGGCCTCTCTCATTGTTCTTCCTCCTTTGCCCTGGGTGGCCAAGGGCTTCTGGATATTCTAGCTCTGCTCCAACTGGGATTTATTTATTAAATTGTTATACCTCTTTTCATATGAAGAACACAATATAAAAATATGTGTGACACTGAAAAAGGTGAGCATTAAAGGTGAATAACACTGATTGTGGGAAAGAAAAGAAAGAAGATGAAACCAGCAGTGTGTCCACCAGAATGTAATAATAATAATAGTAATAATAATAATAATAATAATAATAGAATTTATAATTTCCCAAAGGGCACATCTTGAACATCATCTCTTTATGCTTTTTCTATTGACTTATGTGGATATAATGTGTAACAGGAGCTAAATGTTAATTATCTTATTTTTTATAAGCATTTTGTTTCAATTACTATTTTTTGACTACCTAATCTGAGTTCTTATACAGTGGTACCTCGGGTTACATACGCTTCAGGTTACAGACTCCGCTAACCCAGAAATAGTGCTTCAGGTTAAGAACTTTGCTTCAGGATGAGAACAGAAATTGTGCGCCGTCGGCGTAGCGGCAGCAGGAGGTCCCATTACCTAAGTGGTGCTTCAGGTTAAGAACAGTTTCAGGTTAAGAACGGACTTCCAGAACAAATTAAGTACTTAACCCAAGGTACCACTGTTTCAATTACTATTTTTTGACTACCTAATGTGAGTTCTTATACTTTTTAAAGTTTTTCCAAACTTCTGGCCCATGGGCCTTAGGGTGCCTATGCCTGGGATAGAGGGTTAAATCAGGGCAGGCCAAATGGGACTCAGCTCCGTCCCCTCCTTGCCCCTCCCTGCACCTCCTGCCTGAGGGGGCTGCCTCAGTCTCCCTCACGGTGGAGCAGGCCCTGAGGACAGCCTTCTCGCTGCCTTCCAAAATAGTCATACCTCGGGTTACAGATGCTTCGAGTTGTGCGTTTCCGGGTTACGGGTTATTTCCGGGTTTCAGCGCTCGCACATGTGCAGAACCACTAAATCACGCTTTGTGCGTGTGCAGAATCACCAAATCGCAACCCACACATGCGCAGACGCAGCGCTGTAGGTTGTGAATGTGCCTCCCGCACGGATCACATTCACAACCTGAGCGTCCACTGCACAGGAAACATGACACAGAAGACCTTGGAGTCTCACCGTGGGAAAACAACAACAACAACAATTGGTTATACGTCACTTTGGGCTGCCCTGGGCGGTGGCGTAGGGTGTCCCCGTTACAACAGCCCTGCAAAATAGACCGGAGTTCGCTGCACGCTTTTGGGACTTGGAAGAGTAACTTACGGCAACCGTAAAGGGCAGTCCAGTGTCGACATTATGGGGCCCTCTTTTAAATAGGGGCTGGTGTTTGAACTTGGGCTTTGCTAATGTTACGGAATTGGCAGGGGGGGCACTTGTGGGAGAGCAGGTTTCTTTGGCCGTCTCCCCCTTCCTTGCTTGCCCCTTCTGCGTTCCCACGGCAAGTCCAGCCGAATTAGACTATGGCGTGTGCTGCATATCTCCGCCTTCAGACGGAGGGAGCCAGGCAGCTTTCCGGGTCATGTGCCCAACTTTTCATGAGCCGATATTAAATCCCAAAAGACCTACAGCTGCTTGTTACAAAGTGAGGGGGCCGATTCCGGTAGGTTTGTGATATTAACTCTTTCCACGCTCATTTCTGATGCTCAGAAGCAGGTGCACCCTTTCCTATATCGTCCTGATGACATTCTCAGTCTGACACACAGTATTTAAACAGAAACACGGATCAAACACAAAAAACCCTTTACATAACTCCCTTTCTAAAATACACTGAGACCATCTTATAACATATCCCCGCTATAACACACAAGTTCTAATTAAATCCTAATATTTACTATACCTAAACATTGAGCACCACAGACTAACAACAATAATAATAATATGTATTATTTATACCCTGCCCATCTGGCTGAGTTTCCCCAGCCACTCTGGGCGGCTCCCAATCGAGTGTTAAAAAAATATTATTTAAAGGGAGCGCTGAGCAGAGCTCCCTGGTGCCCTGCGGAGGCATTGCGCCACTAAGGCAGAAGCTAAAACAGCTAGAGGGAGCGCTGCGCAGCGCTCTCTCTAGCTGTTCTGGCTTCTGGGGTAGCCTGCGAAGCTTCCGCAGGGCAGCAACGAGCCTTCATCCCGGGCTTCCCCGCCAGCCCCGACAAGCTCTGGGAGTATTCCCCACCTCCCGCAAAAGCCCACAGGAGCTGTGACCCTTTAAGGAGCGTGCGGCTCCTGCGAGCTTTTTTACAATGTGGGAGAAGGGACTGACGCAGCCAGTCAGTCCCTTCTCCCTCTTCAGGGAAAAGCCCCAAGAGCGGCGTGCTCTTTAAAGGGTGTGCGGCTTCTGCGGGAGGTGGGGGAATTCTGTAAGATTATTTGGGGAAGTTTTTCTAATGAGAAGATATTGTCACAGATGCTTGTTTTTGCCATTCTCAAAAGTGTGAATTTTGTCTGCAGAGATAACATGCCTTTTCTTCACAGGAAAAATAATAAATAAACAAACAGAGTTAACAGAAAACCTTAATCCCATTGTTCCTTTGCAGATTTATATACAGAATCAACCCCTTAAATGCTGAGTTCTAAGAGGTTCAATAAACAGATTGTTTGCAGTGGAAGAGATCTGCACAAGTAGCTAAGTGTGAAGCAGTAAAAATGAAAGTGCAACCTTGTGAGCAGAATACTCCACACATCTTGGGGTCTTTGTGTAATAATTGTGCAAGTCAGACTTGAGGCAAGCGCTGAAGGCTCTTCAGGGCTGGCAACCTCTTCCCAATCCCACTGGGTTCCAACAGCCGCACTAACACTTAACTGTACAGAATAGGCACCTCGATGCAGAAGCCAATCCAAAGGGGTGGCTGGTAGTGGAGGTGGTGAAAGGCGTAAGTTCCAAGTTTTTCATGTGTGCTAAAACTCAGCCTGCTTGGTTGTTTAAAAAAAAATGTTTACCAACATGCTATATTATTGTTTTACTTAAATAAATTGCTTAAGTTGTTATTAAGGAAATGATTGTTTTTCTCCTTCCAATAAATTACAGCAGAAATGATGTCCAAATATATACACTTAACTTATTAAACCTCAGAATGATTTCATAATTATCTGTCTATGTATTTCTAATAGTGTAACCAAATCAGAAATTTTTGATTTAAATAGAATCATACTGACTAGTGATTTATTGTAAATTGTGATTGAAATCAATTTGATTTATATCAAATTCACCCTGATTGCAATCTACCACGACGTCTGAAACAAGGCTGGAAGTATACAGAGGCGAACAGGACAATGTCCTGGCAGCTGCTACTACTTAGGGGTCTAAAATGGATAAATGAAAATATCATCAATCCTCACACACTCAGTTTCATCAGCAGGGAAGCTAAGATGCATCCTAGCAGGACTTTTGGGTTTGCGCTAGGCTATAATTGGTGGTATTCAGGACAAATCAAAGTATGGAGATAAGTCGTAGTGAATGCAGATGATCTGGGACAGCCAACACCCTCAGCAGGGAAGCTGGGTGATGGGGGGGGGGGTCAGGGGTGCTGGAAGGGGAGGCGTCTCTGATGAGGCTCCTCTCCCTTCCTTTAACCCTTCCATGGACTCCCTCTCTCCGTTTCCCCACCCAAAAGGGACCCAGCCAGGTGCCCCATGACCCCAGGGATTCCTGGGGACAAACTGGTAAAATCAGCAATGCTACACTGGGTCAGAAATATAGGTCATGATTAGAGCTGGGCGATATATTGGTATATTGCCCAAGACTGGCTTGAAGTTTACAGCGTGATAACTGTTTCCTAATACTGAGCTGGCAATATATTACGAATCACAATGTGTGCAAGGGCTAGGCAACACCTGCTTTTCAACATTGCGATAACTTACCAGCTAAACGCTGTAATGTTAGTAGCAGCTAAACCTCACAATATCACCTGCTAAATATTGCAGGGCTATTAGCAGATAAAGATCGTAATGTTATCATTACCAAACCTCACAATATCACTTGTGGTTTATTACCAGCTAAACCTCACAATATCACCTGCTAAACGTTGCCATGTTATCAGCAGCTAAACATTTAAATCAGCCGCAAGGTCTGAAATAGGGGTGGAACTGTGCAGAGGAGAGCAGCACAATGTCCTTGCAATTGCTACTACTTAGGGGTCTAAAATGGATAAATGACAATATTATCAATCATCATCTCAGCGGGACTTTTGGGTTTGGGCTTGGCTAGCAAATGGTGGTATTCAGGACAATCCTGTATGGCAATGATGATCTGGGACTGCCAGCAGGGAGACTGGGGAATAAGTGGTGATGGAAGGGGAGGGGTCTCTGTCGAGGCTCCTCCCCTTCCTTTAACCCTTCCCTGGACTCCCTCTCTCCCTTTCCCCAGCCAGGCGACCCCAGGGAGAATGGGGGGCCTCAGCCCCACCCCCAGCCCTGCTTGGGGTCCTCCTTCCCCTTCCCGCCAAGGCCTCCGGGGGGGGCAGGGCAGCTGAGCATCTCTCGGCCCCCCAGGAAAGAGAAAGGGGAGTCTGGCGGTGCTGCTGCTGCCCAGGAGATCTTGCAGGTGTTGGGTCCCCCCTTCCCACCTGGGTCGCCGGGATCGGGGCCCCTGTCGACGGGCCCCAGGGAGGGCGCTTTCCTTGGGGGGGGGGTCTCTTCGTCCTCCTCCCCCCTCTTACCCCCCCTCCTCTATTTTCCTCTTTACCTCTTGGTCCTCCGCCTCCCTGGCTCCAGATTAGTCCGCTTTCCTTGTCCGCAATAGAAAGGGCTGGGGGGGGTTCTCCACTGACGCCCCTCCTCCCCTTTCCTGGAAACTTCCGGCGCATTTCGCGGCGACGCTTCCGGTTCCTTTTGGGATGCGCTTGCCCCTAGAGCTACAGCCAGAGAGCAGCCCCTCCCTGTGTTGGGATGGGAAGAGGACGGGACGGCGCTGCCTCGGGGGGCTCCACGGGGACATGGCCCCCCCTCCTCCTCCCCACAGCAGGGGGCGAGATGGCTGCGGGGGGGCATCATATCTGGGGGTGACCTTGGTTTGCGGGGAGAGAAGGAGGTGGTTCTCAATCTGCAAACCGGGAGGCTGGGAGGGGAGAGGCTGAGTGAGAAGGAGGGAAGGGCTGCCCCTCCCCCTGTGGGTCAGGAGAGTGGGGGAGGGGCTGAGCCAGGGAAGCCAAAGGGGGTCCCTCCCCCCCAGCCCCGGGGGGGGTCCTCTGTGAAGCCCAGAGATGGACCCAGCCCCTGGGGGTGGGAAGAGACATGGGGCTGCCTGAGAGAGAAGGGGCGCTTCCTTTCTTCTCCCCCCTCCTCCCCCCAGGCTCTCCTGCGCCCAGAGACCCCCTTGGCCCGGCAGGGAGAGGGTGGGCTCCCCTTCCGCCATGAGAGGAGTGCAATGGGGTTGTGAGGGGGGGGGAGAGAGAGAGACCCCTTTCTGGGAGAGACCCCTTTCTGCTCCCCTCCCAAGAGGGTCCCCGTCGTGTCTCTGAGGGGCGAGAGAGGAGGAGCCCCTCCCCCCGCTGCTGCTTCCCCTCAACGACTTTTCCCGCCTTTTCCCAACTTCCCGCCCTTCGGGATCTGAGCCTCGCCTCAGTTTCAGGCGCCGAGGAGGCAGATTCCCCGGGATCCCTGCTTTCTGAGTGGATTTCTTCTCATTCACCCTGATCTCTGCTCATATATCTGGCTTTTGGAGCTTCTCTCTGCTTCTGTATAAAACCCCCTCACCACTGCCTGCATCCCATACAGTATGTCAAAGTCTGATTTCTTCCCATTTGCTGTGTATAATTCTTCCTCCAGGACTGTTCTTCCTTCCTGCCAGTGTCACTTCCAAACTAAGAATTCTTCCCTCACTGTCCTTAAATAGCTGCTTGGGGTCTAGTTTGGGGCCTGCATAAAGAACCTCTTCTCTTTTCTCGTTTTAGCTGTAGGTATAAATTCATGGCCAAAAGCCTTATTGATACACAATCTTCCATCCGATGCCTGCTTACTCGGAAGTAAGTCCTACTCTGCTCCCATGTGCGGAGCCAGCAGTTCAGGCGGTTCTGCTAGCAGGAGGCCAAAGGACCCAGAGTGGTTTGCAACCAGGTGGTTTCCAAATGCTGCCCTTTTTGATACGTTTCCATTTATTCTTTTGTGTGGGGACTGGCCAGATTGAACCCCCCCCCCATTCAAAAGAAAGACTAGCAAAAGATTTCAAAGGCGGAATTTCCAAAAGATGACACTTTGTCCTGAATTTAAGACAAGTCAGTCGAAAAATCATGGGCTTTTTTGGCGTTTATTTGGGGCCTTGTCTAAAAAAAAAAAAGCACAACAATTTTGGGCTTGTCCTGGTTTTTACTTTTTGAAATATGGCAACACTAATTATTCTGGCTCTGCTTGAACTGAAAACTCCCTTTTAGAGCTCAGTCGGTAGAGCATGAGACTCTGAATCTATGGGTTAGGAGTTTGAGCCCCACTTTGGGCTACATGACCCTCGTGGTCCCTTCCAACTCTGCAATTCTAGATCGCCTTCTTGTGGGCAGTGGAGGAATGATGTAATGTTGGTTGGTGGGAACTGTTCTTGAGTGTTGCCTTGTCACTCACATGCAACACCACAACAGTCCTGTGAAAGGAAGGGGGGAGCATTTCTGCAGGCTGATGCCCATCCATCCAGCTGCCCAGGCCCCAGCACCTCCCCCTAAGAGTGAAGGGTCCCAGTCTGGAAATCCTCCCTTCCTGCTGGAGGCAGTGAGGGACTCCAGACAGACAGAGGCGTCCTTGCTCTGGAATTCCCTTGCCAGCAGGGAGACTTCAAAGCAATTGTGGCTCTTGGGTAGAAATCTGTGATCCAGACATGGCCTAGTCAATCACACCTTGTTTCAACATCCATCTAACATAAGGAAAAGAAAATCCCCCCATCATTTAGCCCGGACACTGAGGTCCACTTCCGAGGGTCTTCTGGCAGTTCCCTCATAATTACAGGGAACCAGGCAGAGGGCCTTCTTGGTAGTGGCGCCCTCCCTGTGGAACACACGCCCCCATAATAATTTATTAATAATTAATTATTATTATTATTATTATCATCATCATCAGATGTCAAAGAGAGAAAGTAACTTTTGGAAGACCTCTGAAGGCCTTCAGGGAAATTCTTGATGTTTGACATTTTACATGTTCCTTTGTCATAGAACGAAGCTGGCACCATCCATCCATTGGTTCTCGCAGGGTTCCAGTTCATGGTCAACAAGATTAAACAGATGCACGTTGGGCTGATGAGGAGGAGGTGAGGGACCAGGAGTGAGACCTTGGGGTCATGTTAGGTAACTCTGGGAAATTGTTGACCCTGTGTGCACTGGCTCGGGAAACTGCAAATCTCACGCTGGGGATGTTTAGGGAACTGATTGAAAATACACCTGCCACTATCCTAATGGTTGTAGTGCAGATCTTGTTGGCATGCAAAGGGTCGCAAGCCCAGCTGGCTAGTCCCAGGTGGGTCATCTCCCTCCAGCCGTCCCGCTGCGAAGACCCATCAGCCTCTGCTCCGATGTAAATCAGCGACCCAGGCTTCAAAGCCAGGGCACACTATATCAGCAGAGCGAACTGCGGACACAGAATAGGCGTGAGGCTTGTGGAAGCATACTACAACTACGGATTTATTAATCATAAATCAGGACAAAGAAACATTTCGTCTCTCTCTTTGTATTCTCAGAGAGACAGAGAAAAGCAAAAGCTATACACACAACGGAATTCCCAGCATACTGTGCTGGAATGTAAACAGACAGTGACACATAACAAACCCATATCTGCTCCTTAAGGAGGAATGGAAATTATTTATGGAGATCTATGGTGTGAACACATTTGGAGTACTGTGCACAGTTCAGTATCTGGGACCTTTCAGTTTGGAGAGAAGACGAGGAAGGAAGGACATGTCAGATAGAATGGAGAAAGAGGATAGAGAAAAGCCCCCCCCCAATAAAACTAAAACTCATGGAATCCAGTGAAGCATGAAGCAGGAATGGTGGAAGATTTAGGAGAGCGAAAAGAAGGGCCCCCCCCTCTCTGCATCCAGCCAGTCCATGATGGCAACAGCAACAATAAGATAATTACATCAATAGTATGCATTGCTCTGCTGGCAGGGACTCCCTCGGATCATGTCCAGTTGCAAAAGTGCAAGGAGGCTTTCCACCCTCAGGGCCCAGAGGGGGATCGTGCCTTGGGGCAGCTGGTGGAATTGGAGGAAGCTGACGCTTAGCACTCTGGGTTTGGGACCTACCGGAACCTCCTTCCACATTATACTCATCCATATTGTTTCTCGCCTGCGTCATTTTGGGGATAGCATTCTACACACACTTGCGTCACCATGTGCCCCCCTCCCAACATTGCTCTGAGATGCTCTGGTACGGCCCCTTCTTCCCTGTGCCCCCTTCCCTCCTCATGCAAAACGTGCAGCTGGGAACAGAGCCTTTCCTGGTTCTGCCAGGGAATGCCCCTTTTATTTCTCCTGCCACCAAATATATCTATACACATTATATCTGACATAATGCATCTATAAATCAAAAGAATAGATCAGGGTTTCAAGATTACCTTCGGCATATAAGTAGGTGCTTTCAATCTTTCTGTGTCTTCATGGTTCCACTATTGCAACTATAACAATGGGAGTTATGCTGCTGTTCCTATAATATTAGTCTAACTCTGCTTCCAAAGCAACACCACCAGTCTCAGCTCCACTTTGAGCAACTCTCCATTCCCAGATATAAACATTTCCAGCTCCCTCCACCAAACACCAACACCAGCTCACTCTCAGTCCACCCTCATTCAGAAGCAACACTACAGATTCACATTAAATATTATATTATGCTTACTATTGTGAAATTCTACCTTCAATACTTTAAATAAACGTCTAGACCACGTTACAAACAACAGAAGCTCACATACGCTGCATGCAATTCAGATTGATTTCTTGTTATTGATGTGAAAGAAAGTGTCAACTTGGAGAGAACCAGGTTCTATACTCTATAAACCCTTTCTCTTCTTTGAGTTAATTCATGGCCTGTAGGTGTTACTGCTCTTAGAGCTCTTACCCCTCAGAGTCTTTTGAATGTTTTATAATACTTCCACTACAACTGAACCTCTGTCCACTTCCCTGGGACTTATATTGTTACTCCCCTGTATGAGTTTGTTGATGTTTTGTAAGAACTCCACTTGTACTGAAGCTCCTTCCACACTCCAAGCATTGAAATGGTTTCTCCGTTCTGTGAGTCCATTGATGGTATCTAAGGTGTCCGCTCTGACTAAAGCTCTTTCCACACTCCATACATTTAAATGGTTTCTCCCCCGTGTGAATCAGATGATGGTTTCTAAGGTGTCCACTCTCAGTGAAGCTCTTTCCACACTCCATACATTTAAATGGTTTCTCCCCCGTGTGAATCAGATGATGGTTTGTAAGGTGGCCACTCCGACTGAAGCTCTTTCCACACTCCATGCATTTGAATGGTTTCTCTCCCGTGTGAATATGATGATGGTTTGTAAGGAGTCCACTCCGACTGAAGCTCTTTCCACACTCCATGCATTGAAATGGTTTTTCACCTGTATGAGTCCGTTGATGAATTCTAAGTGTTCCACTATCAGTGAAGCTCTTTCCACACTCCATGCATTGAAATGGTTTTTCACCTGTATGAGTCCGTTGATGAATTCTAAGTGTTCCACTATCAGTGAAGCTCTTCCCACACTCCATGCATTTAAAGGGCTTCTCCCCTGTATGGGTCCGTTGATGTTTTCTTAGTGTTCCACTGTTAATGAAGCTCTTACCACAGTCCATGCATTTAAATGGTTTCTTCCCCGTGTGAGTCCGTTGATGAATTCTAAGGGTTCCATTGTGACGGAAGCTCTCTCCACATTCCATGCATTTAAATGGTTTCTCCCCTGTGTGTGTCCGCTGATGAATTCTAAGTTTTCCATTGTCACTGAAACTTTTCCCACATTCCATGCATTTAAATGGTTTCTCCCCCATGTGTGTCCGTTGATGTTTTCTTAATGTGCCACTATCAATGAAGTTCTTTCCACACTCCATGCATTTAAATGGTTTCTCCCCCGTGTGAGTCCGTTGATGTCTTCTAAATTTTCCACTGTCACTGAAGCTCTTTCCACATTCCATGCATTTAAATGGTTTCTCCCCCGTATGAGTGCGTTGATGAATTCTAAGGTTTCCACTATCAATGAAGTTCTTTCCACATTCCATACATTTAAATGGTTTCTCCCCAGTGTGAGTGCGTTGATGAATTATAAGTTTTCCACTTCCAGTGAAGCTCTTTCCACATTCCATGCATTTAAATGGTTTCTCCCCAGTGTGAATCCATTGATGAATTCTAAGTTTTCCACTCTCAGTGAAGCTCTTCCCACACTCCATGCATTTAAATGGTTTCTCCTCCTTGTGAATCCATTGATGTCTTCTTAGTGTTCCACTATAAGTGAAGCTCTTTCCGCACTCCATACATTTAAATGGCTTCTCACCCGTGTGAGTCCGTTGATGTTTTCTTAGTGTTCCACTGTCAATGTAGCTCCTTCCACACTCCATACATTTAAATGGTTTTCCCCCCACGTGTTTCTGTTGATGACTTCTGAGTAATCGATTATCAGTGAAGCTTTTTCCGCACTTCATACATTTAAATGGTTTTCCCCCCGTGTGAATTCGATGATGTATTTGAAGTGTTCCTCTATCAATGAAGCTCTTTGCACACTCCATGCATTTAAATGGTTTCTCCCCTGTGTGAGTCCGTTGATGTTTTCTTGGTGTTCCACTGCTACTGAAGCTCTTCCCACACTCCATATTTTCAAATTATTTCTCCTCTCTCCTTTCACACTCCATACATTTAAATGGTTTCTTTGTTAATCCTATTGGACATCGCCCACCAGAATTCTGATAGGCCTTCTCCATTGTCTTCTTTCGATGGGGTGGGGTAGGGAGAAAATCCTATTTGTTTTCTAAGAAGAGAACAAAGGAATATTACACACATGGATTACAACCTCCACTTATTTTAACATCTTGTACATTCTCTCCTGTCCTCCATATGTTCCAAATTTTTCGGAAATGCAAATGAAATAATGTCAAATAATAGTAATGCATCATCAACATTTCATAACCCTTAATTATAGTTAATGAAGCAGCATTATCTCAGAATACGGTAGACTTTTGGGGTTTACTTTTTACATAAAGTGGTTTCTCACAGGAAAGGGAGCTGCTCTATGTCCATGAACCTGGCCAATATTCATCAGGGTCCTAAGTTCACCATGAAGTTCTTCATCCTCTGCACAATAATCTGTTGGGTGTAGTGAAGGGTTAACCTTCTGTGCCTGGAGTCTGAGAGGAGGAGACAACAAGTGAAGTAAGCCAAAATGTGAGGAAAGCAGCTTGGAATTCTGTGTAATGAGTGGAAATCGAAAGCATTCTGTTACGACGCTGCAAGCAGAGAGACAAGATGCAGCTTAACACGGATGGCTACTGGAGATTGTAAATTCGCTATTTTGTTCCAATAAAGAGATATTAGAACAGAAGAAACGTTTGGCACTGATTTACTGCTCTTTCAACATGCGACCGCTGTGCAACTTTGCTAATTGCTAATTGCTTTATGACCTGCAGAGGCTCGCAGGGGAAGTGTGGCTGGGTGCCGAACGATAAAGCAATAAAACTATCGAACATAATCCTCCACCCCTTGGGCCACATTTTATCCCCTTCGACCTCTAGATCTTTATTCATCACCTGCACATTCCCTTTGGCCTCAGGAGGTCAATACTGACCATTTTGGGAGACCCATATGTAAGTCTAGTGACAAGGCTTGGTGCTTGTGGTCGGTTGAAGGAGTGCTCAGTTGGAGAATGTTATTGGGGTGGGACCTCCATCTCTCAGCCATGCACTTGAATGGAGAGAGCTGGAGGTGCAGAAGGAAAGCAGCTGAAGCCTGACTGCTGGGAAGGCCAGATTGAGACACCCACCCCAATTATGATTTATAATAATTATATGCCGCCGGGTCTCGCACCCGCCTCCTGACACTGGCTTATCTTAGTGGTGATTCCCTGTCCAGGCCTCTCTCACTGTTCTTCCTCCTTTGCCCTGGGTGGCCAAGGGCTTCTGGATATTCTAGCTCTGCTCCACCTGGGATTTATTTATTAAATTGTTATACCTCTTTTCATTTGAAGATCACAAGATAAAAATATGTGTTACACTGAAAAAGGTGAGTACTAAAGGTGAATAACACTGATTGTGGGAAAGAATAGAAAGATGATGAAACCAGTGGTGTGTCCACCTGAATGCAATATAATAAGAATAAGAATAAGAATAATGAAATGTAAAGAAGAAACCAATCTTCAAATCAGTTTCATATTCCCTGGCTGTATTTCTCAGCCACGATTGTGACTCAGAATCTTAGCCACACTTTTTTCTAGAATATCAACTGGACATAGGAGCCAGACATCCCTGGGATTTCATCCAGACATTCCTTTAGTGTGGGCAGCAGCAGCAGAGAAAGGAAGGAAGCAACTTTGGGGGCAAACCATTTCCTTCTGAAGGTCTTCCCCAGCGGCCAGCAGGGTTGATAAACTGCTCAATGGGGACACCTTGGCTTTATAGTGTTAGGGTCTGGATACCAATCACAATCCCTTGGCAATGTCTCAAGAACCCTTAAGATCCAGTTCCACCAACTCCCAAGTAACACTGAGCCCTAGAGGAACCTTCTATGCTGAGTTGAGGCATCTCTGGCCCTACAGATGTGGTTGGACTCAAAGTACCACCTGCCCAAGCAAGGATGGCCCATGGCCAGGGAGGATGGGAGTCTTATCTGGTGGGACAAACTTTCCCCTTCTTCCCCCTCCCCTGAAAACGTTGAATATCTGTATTTCATTTCCTCCTTCCTCCGTGATCTCCAACATCTTCCTGATACAGTCCCACCAACTGCTCACATTCCCAAATCATCCTGCACCACTGACTTCCCAAGGCGGCTGCATTGTGTCTGGGACACTGGCAATGGGACAGCTCCTTCCGCTGGATGAGAGGATAGAGGGTTTATTCAGGGCTGGCCAAATGGGACTCAGCTCCGTCCCCTCCTTGCCGATCCCTAGATCTGCTGCCTGAGGGGGCTGCCTCAGTTTCCCTAGTGGGGGAGCAGGCCCAGAGAACAGCCTTCTCTCTTCCCCCAAAATACAGGAAACACGACAAAAAGGCCTTGGAGTGTCACTGTGGAACATAACAACAACAACAACAACAACAACAACAACAACAACAACAACAACAACAACTGGTTGTTGTTCAACAACTGAGCAGCCAAGCATACTAAGACTCAATTTCTCGACTTTAAGAAAGCTGACTTCATAAAACTTAGGGAAGTGCTGGGTGAGATCCCATGGGCAGTAATACTAAAAGGAAAAGGAGTCATGATGGCTGGGAGTTTGTTAAGAGGGAGATAGTAAAAGCACAACTTCAGGCAATACCAATGAGACAGAAACATGGAAGGTGCCTAAAGAAGCCAGGGTGGCTATCTAAAGAACTTTTAACTGAGTTAAGATTAAAAAAGGATGTGTACAAAAAATGGAAAAGGGGGGAAACCACCAAAGAGGAATTCAAACAAATAGCCAGCACGTGTAGACACAAAGTCAGAAAAGCTAAAGCACAAAATGAACTCAGGCTTGCTAGAGAGGTGAAAAGCAACAAAAAAGGCTTTTATGGGTATGTTCGTAGCAAAAGGAAGAACAAAGAAACAGTGGGGTCACTCAGAGGAGAAGATGGTGAAATGCAAACAGGGGACACAGAAAGGGCTGAACTCCTCAATGCCTTCTTTGCCTCAGTCTTCTCCGATAAAGAAAACAATGGCCGACCTGAAGAATTTGGAGCAAATGATTCAGCAGAGGAAACACAGCCCAGAATAACTAAGGAGATAGTACAAGAATACTTGGCTAGTCTAGATGTATTCAAGTCTCCAGGGCCAGATGAACTGCATCCAAGAGTATTAAAAGAACTGGCAGATGTGATTTCAGAATCACTGGCAGTCATCTTTGAGAATTCCTGGAGAACAGGCGAAGTCCCGGCAGATTGGAGGAGGGCAAATGTTGTCCCTATTTTCAAAAAGGGGAAAAGAGAGGACCCAAATAATTACCGCCCAGTCAGTCTGACATCAATACCAGGGAAGATTCTGGAGCAGATCATTAAGCAAACAGTCTGTGAGCACCTAGAAAGGAATACTGTGATCACCAATAGTCAGCATGGATTTCTGAAAAATAAGTCATGTCAGACTAACCTGATCTCGTTTTTTGACAGAATTACAAGCCTGGTAGATGAAGGGAACGCAGTGGATGTAGCCTACCTTGATTTCAGCAAGGCATTTGACAAGGTGCCCCATGATATTCTTGTAAAGAAGCTGGTAAAATGTGGTCTTGACTATGCTACCACTCAGTGGATTTGTAACTGGCTGACTGACAGAACCCAAAGGGTGCTCATCAATGGTTCCTCTTCATCCTGGAGAAGAGTGACTAGTGGGGTGCCACAGGGTTCCGTCTTGGGCCCGGTCTTATTCAACATCTTTATAAATTATTTGGATGATGGGCTCAAGGGCATCCTGATCAAATTTGCAGATGACACCAAACTGGGAGGGGTGGCTAACACCCCAGAGGACAGGATCACACTTCAAAACGACCTTGACAAGATGGGGGACACCTGGCTTGAGAGCAGTACATGTGAAAAGGATCTAGGAGTCTTGGTTGACCACAAACTTGACATGAGCCAACAGTGTGACGCGGCAGCTAAAAAAGCCAATGCAATTCTGGGCTGCATCAATAGGAGTATAGCATCTAGATCAAGGGAAGTAATAGGGCCACTGTATTCTGCTCTGGTCAGACCTCACCTGGAGCACTGTGTCCAGTTCTGGGCACCACAGTTCAATTAGGACACTGACAAACTGGAACGTGTCCAGAGGAGGGCAACCAAAATGGTCAAAGGCCTGGAAACGATGCCTTATGAGGAACGGCTAAGGGAGCTGGGCATGTTTAGCCTGGAGAAGAGGAGTGAAGGGGTGATATGATAGCCATGTTCAAATATATAAAAGGATGTCACATAGAGGAGGGAGAAAGGTTGTTTTCTGCTGCTCCAGAGAAGCGGACACGGAGCAATGGATCCAAACTACAAGAAAGAAGATTCCACCTAAACATTAGGAAGAACTTCCTGACAGTAAGAGCTGTTCGACAGTGGAATTTGCTGCCAAGGAGCGTGGTGGAGTCTCCTCCTTTGGAGGTCTTTAAGCAGAGGCTTGACAACCATACGTCAGAAGTGCTCTGATGGTGTTTCCTGCTTGGCAGGGGGTTGGACTCAATGGCCCTTGTGGTTGTGGGAAAATGATTGCTTGTACATAAGAGCATGAGCAGAGTTCTTATTATTGCAGAGTGATTTTGCAGCACGAGATATTGTTAAGAGCTTGATGAGCACGTGAACACCTCATGCTAGACTAAATGATTGGCTCACGTAGAATAGTACCCTCTTTGTCTGCGGGCAAGGGCAAGGTTTCATTCCTTTTGATTGTTACTTTGTTGGGTACGGAGCAGAACAAACGTTGTGCTGGAGGAGAGAGGATGAATTATTTTCACTGCGCACAATAAACATTGCTGCTGAAGCCAAAGCTTTTTCTTCAAGTCATCTTGGTGTGAGACTGATTTTCTTACTGATGTCGAGCTGGTTCTCGACATTTGGTGCCCCGTGTGACTACCTTCGGACTCCACGTTGTTTCTCATCGTTCAGCGCTCACCACGCGTCTTTCATCCGCTATGGATCCCGGTGAGTGCTCCCTTGGTACCCCGTGTGTTTGATTCTGGACTTCGCGACGTTACGGACTTATCAGCGCTCACCTCGCCCGGCAAGGGTTTCAGACGCGTCCTTCATCCTTTTTTAGGATCCCGGTGAGTGCTCCCTTATTTTTGCCATTATGGGGCAGTGTCTCTCTCCACCACAGAAAAAGTTTTTTGAAGACCTTAAATTTCTCTTGGCCAGCAACAGCCTCATTGTCTCAGATGCTGATATCGTGTCTCTTATAGAAGCATTGGATACCCACTGTCCCTGGTTTCCTCAGAATGGGAATTGGCATTTAAAAGACTGGGAAAAAATAGGACAATTTTTCCAAAACCATCCTCAGATTGATGTCAAAGTTTTGCATGCCTGCTGTAAGGTTTATAAGGCTATCTCAAGCCTAACTCCTACAAATCTCCTCCTGGCCGCTGCTTCAGCTCCTTTGCCCCCCCTCCCAGTCCTCATGCTGCCTTCAGAAGCACCGTCTTATCAGCCTCCTAAACAGGCAGACATTTTTTCTCCTTCGGCTCCTGTCGTCCCTCCTCTGCATTCTTCGCATTCAGCACCCCCCGCTCTTCCACCTCCTCCACCCAAGGCATCTGGCACCGCTTCTACCACTACTCTTCAAAAATCTCTCCGTGCCGCCGCTCCGTTGCTGCCTTTTGATTCTGATACTCCAAATCTCTTTCCTGTGATTGCTCCTGCACCCCCAGCCCCCGTCATGCTGACCCAAACCGATGTTCTCGATGGGCTGACGGGAGGAGGCAATTTTCTTACCATTGCCCAACAGTTGGCCCTTGATCCTATGTATTGGGCAGCCACCACAGCCTCAGCCCAAGAGGCTCTGGCCTCTGTCCCTGATGACCGGAATGAGCGCAATGGCCGATGGGGCAGCATCAGACAGGGCCCTGCAAAGCCCTATGGACAATTTGTTGATCGCTTGTATAATACCTTCAAGCGGCAAGTTCAGGACCTGGCAGCACAAGAACTGATTGTACGCCAGCTTGCGTTTGCTAATGCAAATGAGGACTGTAAGCAAGCGCTGCACCTTCTAATGGCAACATCAAATATAGCCATTGCTGATATGCTTAAAGCCTGCCAGTCAGTGGGCACTGTGATGCATAAAGCTTGCCTGCTAGCCACGGCTCTGTCCTCCACCGTGTCCCAAAATCCTGCAAAGGATAAAACCTGTTGGATTGACAGTGGCTAAGGAAAAAATCCAGCAGACTTTACCCATTACGTGCCTGGGACACAAGCTGACAGCATCTGCTGCCATTCCAGTCACGCCTCAACTACAGTTTCCTGATCATCTTAGATTGGTGGATTTACAACAAATTCTTGGACAGCTGAACTGGATAAAGAGTTATTTAGACCTGCCCACCTCCACTTTGTCTCCACTATTTTCTGCCCTTAAAGGACATAAGGATCCAGCAGACAAGATCACAGTCACCTCTGCAATGGAAGAGGCTCTAACCACTGTGAACAACCATCTCCGAAGATGTATGGTGGACAGGATTCCTTCTCTTTCCATGGCACAATTATCACTTGCAGTATTTGCCACCCCGCTCCTTCCAACAGCTATATTGTACACCACAGGCCAGAAGCCTGGGACTGTGTCTATTGTGGAGTGGCTTCACCTGCCTCATACTCCTCCGCGGAACGTGTATGCTACACCCAACAGCATCATGGACCTTGTTGCTAAGGGCCGACATCGAGCCCTTGCCCTCTCTGGAATGGACTTACAGTCTGTGTACCTGCCCTTCTCCCAGGAAGAATTTAAGCATCTGATGATGACAGCCGTTTCTACTCAAATAGCTTTTGCTGATTTTTTGGGAAATATCATTCACAATCCTCCTAGAGACCCTCGTTTGTCTTTCCTTACAGGGCTACGTTATGTCTTGCGAACTGCTTTGTCCCCCCTACCCTTACCCTCCGCCCTTACTGTGTTCACTGATGGTACCAAATCCAGAGGGGTGGTGGTGTGGGAAGAGGAGGGGGAATGGAAAAGTTTGTATACTACTGAGCAGTCCTCAGCACAACGTGCTGAATTGGCAGCTGTAATTTTGGTATTTCAACAGTTTGCTAATATCCCTTTCAATCTCATTGTGGATTCTCAGTATGTATATAATCTTTTGAATGTCTTACCATTGTCTTATATCACTCCTGCTATTGATCAAAATTTGTTTACATTATTTTCCACTTTGCAGAACTTGGTACAAGCTAGAACTTGTCAGTTTTATGTTGCCCATCTCAGATCTCACACTGGCCACCCTGGGTATTTAGCAGAAAGTAATGCCAGGGCAGACCATGCTTTGAAGAATGGTATTTTTTCATTGTTTTCAGACCCATTTGAAAGTCATTCTGTATTTCATCAAAATGCTAAAGTTCTGGCGAAATCTTTTTCGTTGCCCATTTCTCAAGCTCGAGACATTGTGTCACAGTAATCTCCCACAGTCATTCCTTTTGATGCAGTCAACCCTAGAGGCCTGCATCCCCTGGCAATTTGGCAAATGGATGTCACCCACACGCCTTCTTTGGCTTCATTTTCTAAGGTACATTTCACTGTGGACACTGCCTCTGGCTTTATCTGGGCCACTCCTCTTAAAGGAGAGACCACTCGACATGTTATTCAACATTTGATGCGCTGTTTTGCTGTTATGGGAAAACCCCATACCTTAAAAACTGACAATGGCCCTGCGTATATTTCTCAGGCCTTTTCTGATTTTTGTTCTTTGTGGGATGCCCTCGCCGGACCGGCATCGCTTGGATTTTACCCCCCAGATCTCTTCTATTTTTCTCCTCCCTCAGGAGTCCTGCCCTATGATGTGTTCCCCTGAGCATGTACAGAGGGCTGTCTTGGAACTATCGTGGACTCTTGGCAGGGGAGGGGTGAGGGGATTTCAGTGTGTTCCAGTTGTTTCATTCTTGTGCTTTGGCATGGTTCCCGGACAGAAAGCAAGTTGCAATATGGTTCTTTAGCAAGGCCCGCGAAGACAATGGGCTCTGTTCTCGACCTTGTTGCAATCTTTTTAGTTACAGCAAGCGGAATATGCTTGCCTACTGCCTTTTAGCTGCTGAGAAAAATGATTTTTAAAAGCTTCTCAAAGCTTTGAGCCTTTTTTGGTGGTGGTATTCTAGCATTCCAGTAAATGCTTCATATAAGATTAGCAATAATATGAAGGATAATCGTATAAGTTTATTCCCTGTGTTTTTATCGCTTGCAGAAATAGTGTCTTATTGTTTTCGTTTTAATCATAATAGTATATTTTTAGGTCATTATCCATATTGTAATTGGACCTATGAGTATGTTAATGGATCTTCTTGTTTTTTTTAATGTTACCACTATGAGAGGTAGGCCAAAAGTCTCAGTTAATAATGTCACAACCTATATGACTTATGACCAACAGGCTGCGTGTAGAGATTTTTATGTTTGGTTCAACTGGATGAGAAAGAGCAGTAAATCTACATGTTTGCTTCAATCTGATTTATGGTTACTCTGTGGCACAAGGGCCTACAAAGAAATCCCCTTTGCCTTTTCTGGAACCTACACTCTAGGAATACTGATACCCCTGATATATAAAATAGATAAGCTCCCAGAGGTTCGTTTGCGTAACAGAAGGGAAGTATAATCACCTATTTCTCATTATACAGGAACAGCCATCTCTAGATCCCTTTTTCCCTCTTTAGGTGTAGGGATGAATTACCGTGATTTGCATAGATTGGCAAATTCGACCGAAGCTTTGTTTAATTCTACTATCTTGGCTTTAAAAATGATTAACACAGAAATGTCAGAAATAAGAGAAGTTGTTTTATAAACTTTTTATGCTTTAAATGTAATCTTTGCCTCTAAAGGTGGAATTTATGCCTTAATTCATTCTCATTGTTGTATGTATATAACTGATCAATCGACCAATATCTCTGCTATTATTGATTATATGGAACAAATGATAGCCCATAATCCTTTGAATCCACCTGAAGGTTTTGATCCATGGGATTGGTTATTTTTTTGGTTACCTAATGGAGTATGGTTAAGAAAAATATTATTGATTGTAATTGCATGTATTGTTGGTTTTATTATGGTTTGTTGTATTCAATGCTTGCTTTTTTTTTATTTCCCAATGTACTGCATGGTGGTTTCGACCAAGGCCCACCACAGGGGTTACAAGGGGAATTTATGTTGCAAAGTATAGACGCTTAGGCAATGAAGTGTACGATTCGGACTAACGGTCCCTCTTATAATATAAACAAGAAAAGAGGGCATGTGGGAAAATGATTGCTTGTACATAAGAGCATGAGCAGAGTTCTTATTATTGCAGAGTGATTTTGCAGCACGAGATATTGTTAAGAGCTTGATGAGCACGTGAACACCTCATGCTAGACTAAATGATTGGCTCACGTAAAATAGTACCCTCTTTGTCTGCGGGCAAGGGCAAGGTTGCATTCCTTTTGATTGTTACTTTGTTGTGTACGGAGCAGAACAAACGTTGTGCTGGAGGAGAGAGGATGAATTATTTTCACTGCGCACAATAAACATTGCTGCTGAAGCCAAAGCTTTTTCTTCAAGTCATCTTGGTGTGAGACTGATTTTCTTACTGATGTCGAGCTGGTTCTCGACATGTGGTCTCTTCCAACTCTATGATTCTATGGTTGTAAGTCCCTTTGGGCTGCCCTGGGCAAGAGAAAGCAACCAATAGATTAAATAAACAAATAACAATAACTGAAACTGCAGCACAGTGGTACCTCGGGTTAAGTACTCAATTCGTTCCGGTGGTTAAGAAAGTGTTCTTAACATAATGGGGCCTCCTGCTGCTGCTGCGCCACTGGACCACAATTTCTGTTCTCATCCTGGGTTAGCGGAGTCTGTAACCTGAAGCGTATTTAACCCGAGGTACCACTGTAATAATAATAATAAGGCAGGCTCTTGAGGGGGGACACGGGAACCCACCCATTTCCATAACAATCTTCCCCATCCCTTAAATCCCACAGATTTAAGAGATCTGATATAGTGGGAATCATGGAAAGCAGGTGAGAAGGAGTTGGGCCCAGGTGTCTCTGGGGGGGGGAGACCTTTAGATGCTTCTCCACGGAAACACAGGCATGTGGGAGAGACTGGAGTTGCCCAGAGAGAAGCCTCAAAGGCGGGGGGGGGGGAATAATAAAGGGGGCTTCCTCCCTTTCCTCTTTCCCCCCATGCTTGGACTCGCTCTAACAGCCCCCAGCGCCCCCTGCAGCTCCTGATCTGGGACCTGAGGCAGGGCAAGGACTGGGCTTCAGGGGAGGAGAGGGTGGCTGGATCGGGGCTCCTGCTCAGGGATCTCTCCCTGGTCTACGCGGAGTCATGGCAGATTCCTGGGCAGGAGGGAGAAGTCAAGGCAGGCGGCCCCCCAGCCCCTCTCTCTTTCTCCAAGATGGCTTCGATCCCTCCCCAGGGATGCTCCCTTCCTCCCTCCGCCCCCCAACTTCCTCCTCCCTCCGCCCCCCAGGGTCCCCTTTCCCCAAAGGCCCCCCTGGCCGGCTCAGCCTACCTGCCAAATCTCTCCCCATCCCAGGAGGGAGACGGGGGGGGGTCTCCATCCAGGCCTCTCTCGCCCCCATTAACCCTTCTCCCCCCAAAGGGGACCCACCAAGCCAGGATGGCGGCGCCCCAGGGATTCCTGCCGGGGGGAAGCCGGAACTGGGGCCTGGGTTCAAGTCCCATTTCCTTCCGGGGGGGGCGGCTGAGCGGCGCCCCAGGGATTCCTGCCAGGGGGGACCTCCCATTTCTATTGCCTCAAAGCGGCCCAAGGGAGGGGGGCAGGGGAGCTGAGCATCTCCTTGCGCTGCAAAGCAGATTTTGCAATGCAAACCCTGCCGGTGCTCCCTCTGCAGGAAGCCCCCCCCGCACCCCCCCGCCGCATTTCGCATAGTAAAAGGCAGGAAGGCTGATCTCGGGGGGGGGGAGCGTGCAATGCAATCCCTGCGAAAGGAGGGGCTCCGATCCCCAGCCGGATTGCATGCATCGGGGCCTCTGCTGATAGCGCCCAAGACGTGAGTTGTTCTTGGGGGTCTTCCCCTCCCCGCCCTTCGCCCCCTTCCCCGCCCCTACAGCTTTACCTCTTTGTCCTCTCTGTCCCTCCACTTCCATCGCTCGCTCTGCTATTCTGATTTCCTTTCTCGGGGGTCTCCAAGGAGGCGCCCCCTCGGGGGAGGGGCTCCTTTCCCCTCCCCTCCGGCTTCCTTTCCGAATGCGTCGGCCCATAGAGCTACGAAGAAGAGCCGCCCCGCCGGAAGGGGGTGGGAGCAGGCGAGGCCGGAGCGGAGGGGGGCAAATTGGGCAAGCTTTAGGCACCGGAGTTTTTCCCGGGGGGGGGGGGCGTCTCCTTCCCTGCCGGCAGCTGAAACCAGCTCCTCCTTCCGCATGCAAAGGAACGGAGCCGCCCCTGATGCGCTTCCCTCCAGCGAAAGCTGCAGAACCCCCCAGTCTACTTTGAGGGGACGCCCTCAGCAAGGGAGGGGGCAGGTGTAAAGTTGAAATTATTATTATTATTATTATTATTATTATTATTATTATTATTATTATTATTATTATGCCACCAATCTAGCTGGACAACTTACAGTGCACTTAAAAACATCAAACATTTAAAACCTCCTGATACAGGGCTGCCTTCAGACGTCTTCTAAAAGTTGTGTAATTCTTTATCTACTTGACATCTTAGAGGTTCCCTGTAACTTTGCTTCTCACAGTGAGGGAACCACCATCAGACGCTTGGAGGCGACTCGGTGTCCGGGCTGAATGATGGGAGTGGAGACGCTCCTTCAGGTTTAGGTCTTTGAAGGTCAGCACAAACACTTTGAATTGTGCTTGGACAGGGGTCTGCAACCTTTAAGACAAAAAGAGCCACTTGGACCCGTTTCTGAAGAAAAAAAAACTGGGAGCCACAAAACTTGTCATTATAAAAATAAATTTTTTGTCACTTTTTTATTATTTCTTTGTTTGACCCCTCCCCTCAGAATTACTCTTCCTCATAGAAATAAACGTTAAATTAACAAGTTACCTTTTGTGTGTGTGTTGTTCACTCCCCTTCAAAACAGTGACCAGCGTACATGCCCCCTTTCAATGCAGTGGCCAGCGTACATGCCCCTCACAATGTAGCGGGCAGTTGGGCAGGAAGGCGACGTCAGGACGGTGCGTGACTAACGCACACACCGCCCCCATGCGACGTCACAGCCAGTACAGCGCCCGCCACAGTGGGGAGTGTCGGGGCGCACAATGCGCCTCCTCCCCTCGCTAGTATCCGCCCCGGAGCTGCGGCAAAGGTGTAAAAGAGCGACATGCGGCTCCGGAGCCGCGGGTTGCAGACCCCTGTGCTTGGAAATGCCAGTGAAGATCCTTTAGGACCAGTGTTATATGGTCCCGGCAGCTGCCCCTTGTCTCCACTTTAGCTGCCCTAGTCTGGATTAATTGTTGCTTCTGGGTCACCTTCAAAGGTAGCCCCACGGAAATTGGAGGTTGCAGAGCTATGAAAAATTAAAGGATAAGGTGCAAGATTGGTTTCATTATGCCCAAATTAATGAGGTTTTTAAGTTGGATAAAAAAACAGGATTCCAGGTGGAAAAATCGAAACTTGAGACAGAGCTGTTAGAACCAAAGACCAAGGTATTATCGAGAATGTATAACTTGCTGCTTAAATGGAACACTCAGGATGAGACAGTTAAATCAGCCATGATAAAGTGGGCTCAGGATATTGGGTACAACATTATTTTTGAAGACTGGGAAAGGTTATGGACCACCGGTATGAAATTTACGGCATGTAATGCCCTGAAAGAAAACATTATGAAAATGATATACAGGTGGTACATGACCCCAGTCAAGCTTGCTAAGATATACCATTTGTCTGATAATAAATGTTGGAAGTGTAAGGAGGCTGAAGGGACATTCTTTCACCTTTGGTGGACTTGTCCAAGAGTGAAGGCCTTCTGGGAAATGATCTACAATGAGTTAAAAAAGGTGTTTAAGTACACCTTTCCTAAGAAACCGGAGGCCTTCCTCTTGGGCATTGTGGGCCAAAAGGTGTTAAAGAAGGATAGAACGTTTTTTATGTATGCAACCACAGCAGCAAGAATTCTTATCGCTAAATACTGGAAGACTCAAGATTTGCCCACACTGGAAGAGTGGCAAACACAATTGATGGATTACATGGAGTTGGCCGAGATGACTGCCAGGATTCGAGATTTGGGAGAAGAAGCAATGGAGGAAGACTGGAAAAAATTTAAGGACTATTTGCAAAAACTTTATAAGTTATATGAATTATAGGACTTCGCATGATTTGGAAGGTTAGCCCCAGCAATGAGAGTGGAATATATATGAAATTAGACAATATTAATGAAAGAACCAATGTTTAAATGTTCAAAAAGGATAATATATGTGTTTATAGAGTAAATGGATAATAAGTAATTTAAACTTAAAATGCAATTGAAAGTACAAAAGAAACACATGAAACAAGGTTATAATTTGCTGACAAATTTATTATTAAGATTGCATTGTGCGGGAGATGTGGGGAAGTTCGATGGAGGATTGAAACAAGCTTTGGAAATAATCAGTTTTTTTTTCTTTTCTTTTCTTGTTTTCTTTGTTTTTCTGTGCTGTTTATCTTTATCTGGAAAAAATGTAATAAATTTTTTTTAAAAAAAAACAAAGGTAGCCCCACGGAGAGCACATTGCAGTAGTCCAAGCGGGGGATGACCAGAGCATGCACCACTCTGGCCAGACAGTCTGCGGGCAGGGAGGGTCTCAGCCTGCGTACCAGGTGGAGCTGGTAGACAGCTGGGTGTGATTATGGTGGAATCTCCCCCCCCGGGGGTGGGGGGTTAACAGACATAAAGGAGTGGGCAGAGAGGGTCCCAGCCGGCGTACCAGATGGAGCTGGTAGACAGTGTCAGGAGCCCAGGCTGCCGTCTTGATAACACAGCATGCAAGTCATAATTTGCTAGAAGATTTATTGCAAAACAAACAATGTCTCAGACGCTCTATCGGAGCTTCTGTTTCTTTTGATTCAGTTGACCCTTCTGAGGAGTGCTTCCTGGTTCTGCAGAATATCCTGAACCTATGACCCTTATGTTTCTGGGTTTCTTTCCTATGTAATATCTTTCCCATTCATCTACTCCTTGATGGACAGCTGTGAGTCAAGACTGACTCCCAGGCTGCACACCTGGTCCTTCAGGGGCACAGTTAGCCCATTCAGGACCAGGGAGTCCTCCACACCAGCCCGCCTCCTGTCCCCCAGAAACAGTACTTCTGTCGTGTTAGGATTCCACCTCAATCTATTAGCCACCATCCATCCCCAACCGCCTCCGGACACTCACACAGGACCTTCACCACCTTCACTGGTTCTGATTTAAAGGAGAGGCAGAGCTGGGTATCTACATACTGATGAACACCCAGCCCCAATCCCCCCCCAATGATTTATCCCAGCCACTTCATATAGATCAGGGGTGGCCAACTCCCGAGACACTGTGATCTACTTTCAGCATTAAAATCTGGCAATGATCTACCCCCCCCCTTATTTGCGTTCAGGTCAAAGTTGTTGAGGAGGAAAGTCCCGTTTTTATACAAATACTTTCTTGGGAGGGAAGTTCAGGTCAGGGTTAAAAGCAAGGGTCAAAGGGGGAAAAATCACTCACAATAATATCGCTTTGAATGAAAACACCCACAGAGAGAAAGCTCCTTCTTCCCTTCCACTGATCAGACAACAATCAAGGGGGGGGCGAGGGGGGCAGGAGTC